GCCGAGGCCGATTGTGCCTCTTTGTCGCTCGTTCCGCGCTCTCGCTTGCACTTCAAGCCTTAAATGGAACGCCTCAGAGCGAGGTAACGCCGCATGAGTCATGTTTTTTCGTGCGTGCAGCCGGCTCCATCGAATTATAAGACGTTGTCACGTCAAAAAGAAAATGAACTAGTAATTAGAATAAGAACCAATGAATTAAATTAGTAACATTCTGTTTCGATTTATTGAATTTTAAAGACAACTGGGACTACGACAAATTTACTATAATGCGGTAAAGCTTTTAGAAACTAATTTCATAGATAATACGTAATAGCTTTATGTTTGGAAGTTAGTTCAATGGAGTGGAACGATGATGGTGATGACGGTTGGTTATAAAACTTTGATCCTCATTATAGCTTTTGCAAATTTAAGCTATTTTATTCGCACATGTGTGTAGACCAATTCAATTTAACTAGTATGCATACAATTATAGTTGTTGTAGGGAACAGAAGCTACAAAGTCCAAACAATCGTACACAATTACCGGCAAAGTTGAGCTTCAAAATGGGTTTAAAGTTTGCAAAAGTCATTACGTAACTGTTGTGCATGTGTGCGGGGGCGCATTGTTGTTTTCCCGTGAAATGTTTATTTACAACTCGGAACATCTAACTCTATTACGGAGTATTGCAATTAAAACTCAATAAAGACTGTCCTTTGGGATCGTATTGCACCACAAAATATTGCTTCAGTTAAATCTTCTGTCAGGTCTTTTGCTCTTTATGTCAGTCGAATTATTTCAATTAAAAATCATTTAGAGAAATACCAATTAGCGAAGTTGCAAAAATAAAAATAGTTTATGGAAAAACAACAATTGTAATGTATTTTAATACTCATAAAGTGAAATTTCTTGAGAATTTGCTTCTCTACTTGCATCCTTCTTTTGAATTTCAAGTTGAATTCTTGTGTGTTCTTTCCGGTGGGTGAATTTTGATAAATATTATTATATATGCTTGTAATAATGTTATGTATATCATCATCATAAGGTCGTCAATCCTAAGACTGGTTAGACACGCACCTCCACTCATTGCTATTCTGAGCTAATCTTCGTATTTCCCCAAAACCAGAACAACCCACATCCTTAACTATTTGTGAACAGTAATCTAATCTAGGTCTACCTCTACCTCTCCTAACTCCTGTTTTTGCCTCTAATATGTATCTGCTATGTTCTATATTCGCTTATTTTCTTTTTCTTTCTTCCCTTGTATACCAGTATTTTAGTTTTACTTTTATTTATTTTCATACAGTACTGATCTGTCAATACCGCTTCCATTTTATTTAAAGCTATCTCTAACTCCTCCTGGCTAGAGGCTAATACTGCTATATCATCTGCAAATCTAAGCATACTAATCTTTTGCTCCTGAATATCTATCCCTACAGATGTATAGATTAAAAATTAGCAGTGACAGTGTGCATCCCTGTTTGACTCCCTTCCTAATATTTACTTCTCTATGTTGCAACCCCCTGCTTTATAACTGCCTGTTGCTCTTTATACAAACTAAGTATCACTTTTCTATGTCTGTAATTCATCCCTACACTTTTAAGTATATTTAATCTTGTCCCATTTAACTTCAAATTCTTTTCCTAAATCTTCAAGACCAGTCTAATTATGCACATAGGGTAATAATTATGTATACGTTACGGTACAATTTTTTTGTTTTTTTGTCCACAATATCGCCGATAATTTTGGATTTAGCGATAAGATTCTGTTGATAGTAGGTAGGTACCCCAAATTTTCTACCATTCCAACAATTTCGGAATCGTTTGGCCTACCTGCATCTAGTACGACCCTGGTCTTTGATTTTCAGGTCTATTCTTTGGACAGTCCCTGTTTACATTCAATTAATTGTATCAGTTACACGTCAGGCCTTTACATTTAATGTGAGGTATATAATTAAAAACCAATGAGTAATTTTTTATTTTTAATTATTACCCTGTGTGCATAATTATACCGGTCTTCTTGTTCTACATTGCTGTACTTAGGAGTAATCAAAAATTTGTAGTTGATTAGTTGCGGTTTTTTATTTTTCCATGGAGTCATGTCGCTACTCTGTCTTAATTTTCCGGTAATATAAACCGTGAGCAACATTTGTCGGAAATGACACTTATTCCGGCCCTTAGTCGCGAAACAAAATTACCTACCGGGCAAGTTCATGCATATAACAGGATATTAATTTAATGTCTCCACACAGTCGTGGTGGCCATTTAATTAAATATTACAGCCGGCGTTAGCATGGACGAGACCCGTATTAATATTCAGGGCATGATGTTGTCAAGGAAGCGGGCGATTGTTGAGCTCTTCATTTTGTTTTCATTTTATCGGGGGATGTATGAATTTTCAAAGCGAACCATGAAAACCGCATTGCCTTTATCGCATGTTCGCTGAAGTTAGGGTTAATTAGAAATTATTAATGTCAAAAAAGTCCATATTCTTTATCATTCCAATTGAAAAGCTGTAAAGATGTCATTCTTCTTTTGAAATATTTATTTTAGAATGGTTTTTACTTTAAGAACTAACTATTTTTAATGGAGTTATTTGTCTGATGTAGTACTATGTAATATTTCCGATTACTTCCGGAAACTTCTCGTAAATTCCTTTAAACGTGGCAGACTTGTACGTTATATAATATACTTGTAGACTATGACTGCTGAGTTTCGGTTACATCAAAGGTATCGCTGGTATCGATCTCCTGCGGCTTTCGTTTATACGGTAACATTTCTATCACAACAAATTGTTCCTTGAGAAGTTCTTATAAATGGTACTTTTAAAGTTGGAAGTGATACCTTTATGCAATGTCTACACGATTTGAATTTTAGAAGCTTTGATGATCTGTTCAGCAGGGGTATATTTAAAACCGGATGTAAAAGACATTCCAATTTCGCAAAAGTGTAATACAATAGATGTATTTTACTTAAATATTCCATTACACAAAATCCATCATTTCGTAAGAACGTGCTGCACAACTCCTAGAATGTTAGCCATCAAGGAATGCAAGAAACAAACCGAATTCCTGTTCCGTTAAACTTTTCAAAAGATAATAAAACTTTTCGATAGACAATACGGTTTACCAAAACGTCTCAGGAAAATTGCAAACTCACCTATAGACAGCGCCAAGAAACTTGGAAAAACTTAAATGTATCATTTTGTTTTTGTGAAAGATATTTACCTAAGTATATTTCACCACTAGCAATAATAGGAAATGCTTGAAACTTCAACTTACAATGTAATATATTATATAATATAAATTTGAAAAATAAAGAAAAACAAAATATTTCCACTCTCCAATTGGTTATCGTCAGTAACTAATTTCGGTAAATTTCTTTTAAAAGTAGCTGCTCCAACGTTCACAGATATAACGTCGCACATAAATCTATGCAATACTAATTTATAATTCCGTTCGACAATTTACATATTAAATTACGAAATTCGCAAATAATAATAATAATAATTAATTGACAGAGTTAATTTGTATTGTCCTTTACGCCTTAATTAAACCACAAATTATCTGCCTCTCTCTAGTGTAACATTAGGTCAGCAAGGACATTTAGGACTACACCTAATTAAGGGTACACCGTGTTTGCGGGACTATTTATTACCGCTAATATTTTATTAATTGATTGGATGGGGTCCCGGTCAAATACACAAACGACCCAATAACTAACACAATATGTGGTGAAAGTACACGGTACATAACATATTTTAAAAGTTAAGGTACAAAAAAGGATTTATTTTTGCACTTGATATTGTCTGTGATACAGGTTACATTTATTTACTTTTAAGAAGGTTGAAAAGTACTGAGTTAGTCCTACAGCAAGGATACTGTCGAAATATTATTCAAATGACTTCACTTTCCAAAATATTCACTCATATACCGGGTGTCCTAGTTAGGAGGAACGGCAAGCATTGTTAACCAAACTTTTTGGAAAACGTTCTAATGATATTCAAGTATTACACATGAAATTAATTGTTTCGGCATTCTACATCTTGAAAAAGAATGCCGGACGAATGTCACACGGCTCACACGTGGGTGACTAAAATGCGAGCCATTTGCGATACTTTAGTCTCTATGACTTTTACGCTTTTAGGCCATTTGTGTGTGCAGCATTGCATGATTTGAAGCTAACTTCAGGGAGAGTATCGTAAACAGCACCTAACGTTATTGAAAATCTCCGTACGCCACTGGAATATAGTGTAAAATTTGTTATGAGGGTGACGTTTTTATGCATACATTTTTTGTTGCATTTGTCATTGTATATAAATTTGACATTTTGCGTGTTAGTCATTTAATAATCTCATCCGCTAATAACAATGCGATTAATGCGTCGCGTATCACGTCGCGTCGGGGCGCTAAGCGTCAGCCGATGTGTATATATCTATACATGGAGGTAAGTGATTTAAGCGCGATTAGAGAGGTCGGAAAATTTAATTACTGTCAAATTGATTGACATTTACTGCATGATTGCCTGACCAAGAGAAACGCCTACGGGGATCGAAAACATTTTATTATGCCCGTATAGTTGGCAGTAAGCCACGGCTAGCTGGGAAATTAAGGAAACGGACTTTGAATTATTAATAAACTGTCGATATTATGCAATTCTTCATCGCTCGCAACAATTTCGTTTCGAAAGCAATTAAGGGTATTTTGTAGGGGAACGCACGGGCACATTGCCGTCCCATCATCTAGGGACTGAGAAACGATTTGCTGTTTCTGAAAATTAGGCAAATTTCTGAGGCTCATTTCCCGAGGAAATGACGCAGGACAAATGCCAAAATTCATAGAGGAACGTTATTGAGAGATTTTAATCAACGACGTACGGCACATTATTTAATGTCTTTTTAAGAGTATGAAAAGATAAAAAAGTAGTCAATAACACGTTTTATATAGCGTTTAAGATGAATAAACTTCCCCATTCCCTTTTTTAAATTTTGTTGCTTCCTTAATAACCACTTTGTTTCTTTTATGTAGATTGAAAAGCCACCGAACCACCGGAAGTAGGTCGCATGTGGCTATCACCATCTTGAAACTTACGATTGGGTAAGTCATTAAATTTATTTTTATACTTCGCCATAAAATACATTATCTGGAGGTCGATTTTAAGTAGTCACTCCCGTAATTGAATTAATTCCTTTAGTGTAAGACACAGTAGGTAACTAAATCGATAATGTTTTTATCCAGGTAATCGGATAATGTTTCCTTAAGGATAAAGAACTTTGTATATCGAAAAAGGTTAATTCTCCAACAACAGAATTATTTTAGAAGGAAAGGTTTTTTCAAAGTGCGAGCTGGTAAAATTCTGCTTATCTAACTCGTGAAGCCATTCAATTAAAAAAGAAAACCAGAAGTAAACGTTATTGGTTTACCTACAAAAATTCGATACATCGAACTGAACGAAATAAACGGGTACCTCGAAATAGTTTTACGGTTTGCTACGTCCAAATAAATTGCATGCTATTGGTCGAAGACTGACGTTTTGCCGATTCCCGCTTTTATCTTATTCCTTTTTCTCCCGCTTCTCAAACCTCACGAACAAAAAAAAAACAAATTCAAAAAGGAAGCTGAATCTATCGATTTCATTTATAGCACAACATAAAGACTTTTTCTCTTTTGATTTATCTAATTAAATACAGATATTACCTATGTAGTTTAATGCATCATTCTTCTAACTGATGCCAAAGATATTTAGCTGTTATTAATGGTCCTTCGAGCCGGATATTTTATGTAGAAAGCGTTCCGCTCGAAGAATTATTCTTTTAAATAATATAAAGGGTTGATCAGAACTATAAAAGACAAATGTAAATAGGTATTTTTTTGACGAGTACGGTTTCTGATAAATTGGGGCTCTTTTAGAAACGGAAAAACACGAAAATCTAGTAAGATTTAAGAAGCATCTACAGCAAAAATAGCTAAGAAGGTATTACCGTTATATAATCTGTTGGCAGTTTCCCTTCTCCTTTGTTAACGTTAACGTTAGGAGCTAAGGTGTCATGCAAGTTCTCTCGGCTCTCTTTGACCGAGAAATTAGCAGCCCCTTTTTATTCGTGACGCCTTTCTTTACATTTATAAAGGGAGAAAGATGGATCAAGCCGTTGTTCGGCAGTCAGATGGTGTTGGCCGTAATTTCCCTGTTGTCTCATTGTGGTAGGAAAACGTGGCCCGAATGCTTGTTTGAACGAAGTATCGGAATAAAATGCGATTAAGGGAAACAAATTCGACTCTACGTTTGCGTTTGTTTAATTAATAAATGCGGTCTTGTGCCCGCAACGAAATTAGATGGGAAACTGGGTGGGATTCGTCCACCAAAAGGGCAGCCCGTTTTTCACGATGGGATTGAATAAATTTATAATTGCAGTTAAATACTAACTCATCCCCAACGCTGTTTGTCGGCCGTATATCCACGCGTTTGTAATTATTGTGGAACGATCGGAGATTTAATTCGTGCCGAAAGTGTGGAGGTCAGAAGTGCGGTTTTTGCGGTTGGACCTTTGTGAGAGACGAAAATTTACTGCGGCTTTTGAATAATAATGTTGTTCAAAAAGTTTCCTTTCAGACAATGCCAGAATTATTCCGGATCCCATTTGAATATTCCGGGGCCATTTTAATAAAATGGTAATTAATGCGGTCATGTGGAACCGCTTTACTTTTTAGACATTTCTACGTTTTATATGTACGAAATGTCATGAAATTTGTGGCTACATATATTTGCCACATATATTTTTTCTTACGATATCTTATCACTGTTGTATATAGCTTTGATATTTTTTACAATTTCAACATTATAATTCTTTCTATTGTAAATATTTCCTATTGTTATTATGAAAATATCCTTTCAAATGTATCTTCTAAAAACCTTTTGTATCTGTACCTTTCTATTATTCTTTCTACAAATTACTTTATTACTTGTACATTCCAATAATCCCTTAACATTTTAATTTCGTTTACTAACAGCATGAGGTGTATAATTCTTGTTGCATCCTAACTGCATTTTAATATTGGGTTTCTAGGTACATTGGGGCGAAATCTGTTTCTTAGTGTTTCATCTAATCACTCTTTCCAAGTTTCATTCTCTTCTGATTCGATCCCTACTTTAGTTAAAATACTTCTAGCTCCACCCTTTTAATCTTCGTTAAAATTTATTTTCAATACTACTAACACTTCCGATCTATTATTCAACTGTTCCATTTCTTCCTTCAGCGATTGTTAATTAAATTTGTTAAGTTTTCATTGTGCTTCATTTAGTAATTTTACTTTTGCAAAGTGTGTTAAATTCCACCAAAAACCTAAAAATTAAATTTTTGTTAAAACATCTACCTTGTTGGTTGATTACTGATCGATATTTTGGGAACGTACATAAATATGGATCATTTAAGAAGGCACTTTATTTAAGGGTTGTAATACGATCAGAATTTGCAGAATCTTCTGCAGATATGCTTAGGATAACGTTCGTTGAAAATTGAGTCGATGATATGAATTTTGCAAAAGTAGCAGCAACGAACGTGGATGCAGATAACTAAATGTTGCAAGTAGTGTTTACAAATTTTCTTGAATGTCGACTGTTCGGTGTGGAACAGCCGCGATATGCAACGTATCAGTACTATGTTCTCCGTTTCCTGTCAGGAAACACATGTAATAAATACAGAAATATGCGAATCAGTAAGTAAGTTCAATCGATTTCCGGATATTGTTCGCGACTCGAATTTTAATAGGAGTATAAGAGAACAGTACGCTTAAGGGAATCAGGATGAAATGATATTGAGCTAGGATCGATTCTTTGTTTCATTATATTTACTTTTATCCGTCTAAGTCTAGATATTCGCAGTTCTGGACTTTCGATAATAATAAAAAGATTACAGGATCATCGACTGAAATGACCACTAAATAAATGAGCGACAGAAAGCTCTTTAAATAATTGATACAGTACGTTGTGGAATAAAAAAGACTGAAGAAATCTCTGGTAGATCTAAACATTGAAAGTAACTGGAACTCATATATAATTAAATGCTAATTAAATACTCAACATGTTCTAATTAAATGCCCATGGAGTGTTAATTAAATGCTATAATGAGAAATTAAATGTTCCCGGACTTTTTTTAAAAATTATTGCTCTATTTGCTTAAGACTAAGTTGACAAAGTATGAGCAAAAATATTATTAGTAGCAAATTGCCTTTTTAGTAACACAGTAAATAAATGCTTATTATATACTTTCGAAACAGACTTTAATTTCTATCTAGGAAACTTCATTAATACTTGTGTGTTTACTTTTGGTTCTGCTGGTTTTGCTCTTTCTATTTAAAAAAAAAATATTAGCAAAACTATTTGCAATTTTAGGAAAGTATCAATTTTATTTCCATTCACACCTCATCCAGTCCCTCAAAGGTATTTAAGCTTCGCCACAATTTTTCAGATTAAAGTTGATTAACTGCTAGTTATTTCAGTAAGCCTCATCGTCTAGTTATGGAATAAGAAATTGCCTTGGTAGTTAATCTGGCTATATTGGAATTGTTCCTGACATAGTTTGCAACACATGTTTGTCTACTTGTAGGTGTTAACCGTGTGGCATTTACACTGTCACCCCCAAGTGAGGAATTCTAATCGATGAACTTAATGAAGGTGCAATAACCTTTGTTAATGGAATGATAGTTTTATTCAAACGATTTGATTAAGCTGCCTTAGGTCGCCTATTATGTCGATTGTATAATCCATTTTAGACATTTTATCTGCTAGAGAAACTTTCATGCTTTGTTTAATTTAATTTATTGATAATGTTAAGAAAAGGAGTACCTAGTTTGATAACACCAGCAAGAAGTTTACAATTCTTATCTAAAAAGAAGCAGTCGTAGTTTATTTCACTTAGTGATATTCTATTTTAGAAGGTCGACACCGTAGAAAATAACGGAAACTTTTTGATGCAACTTTGTAAATAATAAGGCATTTATATCTTAAAGTCTTTGCAAAATTTCAGAGTCGTTAGAAGAATACATTAAGAGATATTAATTAACCATTTTTATCAGAACTACATAATTTACTTGTGTATTAGATTTCAAAAACAGTATTGTATCGAAATAAATAAAAGTAAAACAAAAATACTGATTTGTAAGGGAGGAAAAAGTAGGGAAAGAGCGAATATAAAAATAGGAGATGAACAATTAGAATTGACCGATTTTAGGTATCTAGGAAGTCAGATAAGTCAGCACCAGGACGGAAGGAGTAGTAGGGATATAAGGTAGAGGAAAGCGAAGGGTCGTGTCGCCTTCAACAAAAAGAAGTCACTTCTATGCTCGCGAATGGTTAATTTAGAAATTCGAAAAGGGTTGTTAAAGGTGTATGTTTGGAGCGCGGCGTTGTACGGGTGCGAAACATGGACTGTGGGCGCGGCGGAAAAGAAAAGGTTAGAAGCGTTCGAAATGTGGTGTTATAGGCGGATGATGAGGATACAGTGGATGGAGAAGGTTAGAAATGAAGAGGTATTAGATAGACTAGGAGAACAGAGGACTCTCTGGAAGTCAATAAGAAATAGGGGAGATAGGTTAGTAAGACACCTTCTCAGGCATGAAAGTCTAGTCAGAGACATATTAGAGGACTAGACGTAGACCTACATTAGAGTACTATGGACAAATAGTGAAGGATGTGGGATGTTCTAGTGTTAGGGAAATGCGAAGATTAGCTCAGGATAGGAAGGAGTAGGGTTGCGTGCCCAACCAGTCCATTTCCATTTTCATCTAATCATGTCTCGAATAATACTTTACCTTACCTAACAATTTAACAATTTTACTCTAGGCATTTTAATTTCCCTTTTTATTTTTTGAGTATTTGTAATCCTAATAAATGGTTCAGCATTCAACATTAGCACTCAGTTATTTTGAAAAGCCTTTCGCAGTTGTGAATATAGGGAAAAAATAAATTAGTTTCGTCCGAATCGAATAATGTAAGTACACATATATGCACTTTTGTGTAGGTAAATTTCCACCAATTTTCTAGCCACGAAGCGGCTACAGTTTTTTACATTGGCGGTTGCAATCGCTACTATTTTCCTCTC